TACTACAAATTAAATTTCTTTTAGCAATTATTGTTTTTTTAATGTCCCAATTCCAACCGTCCTCCTTTATCCAGGCTTGGGACCAGTCAAAAGTGACTCTGGCAGAGTTACTTCTTTTGTGTGTGTTTTTAAGTAGTAGTAGTAGTAGTAGTAGTAGTTTTTAAGTAGTTTTAAACCTTGTGATCCACAAAAAGTAACAGTTAAGTAAGTAACAGTTAAAGAAGAACTGACTGCATTACAGTCATGGCGAGAGCAGCGGCTTCGCTCATGTGCGATTCATTTGCAGTTTGGACGTGTAGGGGTGAACATGTCCTGCTCTGACAGCAGATGGGGGTGACTCCTGTATGAGGACTACCTGCTGCCAAAGGCACGGTGCCCACGGCAGCACCCGCTGCTTGTTGAGAGTAAGATCGATACGTGCTTTCACGTCAAAAAATCGTTATAAGTCTTCCTAATAACACCAGCAAAAGTCGCCAGCTTTGTTGCTAGTTGCTTTTTAGAAAAAATGTCGCTAATGGGGTCTGAAAACTCACTAAATATAGCGACAAAGTCACTAAGTTGGTAATACTATAGCCTTCAAGGCAAGGTTTTAATTGGAGCTAACTTTAGCTTCATTAGCTTGATAGCTATAGCACATGTTGTATGCTAGCATTCGCTGTTTTTCAGGAGCCAAACTCAGCAGCCACTGGTTAGAATCCAGTGAACTGGTCACTCTTGAATGAGAAACTGTTTTCATCTAAATTTGCAGAATGGTTCAAAAGAATTAACAATAATATCAAATGGTTGTACAGGGAAGACAAGTGTAGCTCAACAGAGGAAAGGTTTATTGAATGGACATTGGAAAGGTGTTCCAAATGAAAGAAGGAAAAATCCACAAAAGTAATTTAACAGCAGCTATAAAATCTCGTCTTTGCTGATCTTTGGTGTTTAATTTATATGCCTGTGATACTGAGGCATTAGGCTTTACACTTTTGATCACAGAAAGCATTGAAACATTGGTTACTCTTTAATGTGGCATGAAGATTTAAAAAATCAACAAATTCGTTCACATATCAGTTTCTTAAACTATATTGATGTAAAACAAGCGTGTCTACAGAGCAGAGGGATTTAAGAAATTACTTCGAATGAATAATAATTTAGTAGAGTATAGGGACAAACTGTTTCACATTAAAGAAACGAAATTAAGTGGCACAAAGGCAAACATTCAAAGAGAAGACTGGTGATTTTGGGGAGCATATGATACTTGAGGCGATGACAGAAGTAGGGCACCATGACCAGCACTGTAGAGCACAGCAGAATTAAAGAACAAGCATGTCAAACAAAATAGACTCCAGGGAAGTGAATGTCAGGCTTTTTCAAAGAGCAGTGTAGCTGGTCTTTTAGAAACTTGTGTTAGACTTGCTGTTGTTGCTCCGTCTGCACATGTGGACAAAGAGGAAAGCAGAGAAAGGTTTCAGTCAGCAAATCTGGAAGTATTTTTAAAAAGCCCTCTTGTTTCCCATTTGACATCTTTTTTAAAAGGTCTGCTAAAACTGCAAAAAAGAGGACAGGAAGGATATTCCTGTTGTGCTGGTGGTAACCTGACCATGCTTGTAGACCTCTCTATTATTCTAATATTTTCTCTAAGACATTCTGTGGAAAGATTGATTCGGCTGAAGTAAAACATTGTTTGTCCGTGTACATGCCGTCATGTGAACGGAGGAATCTGCGCTTTGTGTTAACATCTTTCGCAGAAGTTATTTACCTGCTCTTTAATTGTTTCTTGTTTAAACTGATTAGTGGTAATCAAAATGATTTTGTGAGCGTTTAGCTGAGATTCTGATGTCATACATGTCTATATCTAAATGACAGACCTAGTGGCACAGCCTGTGAAACCAGATGTTCTCCCTCTGACCCTGGTATCAGGGGCACTAGGGTTCAACGGGTTAAGCTAAACTAATGATTGGTTTTAGAACTGAAGAAGTCCAGTCACCTTGTTTTCAAGATCCCAAGACAGTGTTGGGCCATATTCCAGTCAGCACACTGCTTTCTATGTTGAACAAACCAGGCTAACGCAGGTGAATCCTCTCTAAAGACATCAATAATTAAGTTGGTGCCCACTGATGTGCTTTTCATTTGATTCACCCTCTCCTAAGCAAGGCAGTATGTGCACCGAGATAAGATCAGGCTTTGTAAAAACCAGCTGGTGCAGTCAGCCCCAGATCACTGCACATATCCCCAATTTTACTCGAAAACTAGTGCTACAGCTCTGGTAGAAGTAATTAAGTACCAGTGAGGTTTGTAGGCGAGCTTAAACATGAGAGCATCATCTTGTCTACAGACTAGACCCCAAAGAAACATAGAGTATAAAATGTGGACATACTGTAATGTCACGCATTGATTTGCAAAGTCTCTCTTCTACTGAGCATTTTCATTGCAGTCTTGGTGTTTTGAAACCAGCTATGGTGAGAAAGAAGCAGGTCTGACTGTGAAACTGCATGCTCATTGGCCAGCTTATTGTCGACAAGTTAATAGCCAATGAACATACTCTGAAACAAGATTTATAAAAATGACCTTGTTTTTGTTCATTATGGCCCAAATTGAGTAACCACAAGCACAGCAGAAAACATGTCCAGAGGTCAAGCTCGATGGGACCAGGAGTCTTTTTTGGTGTCCCCCCCGGATAGCCATTAAACAAAGCAGATATTTAAGGCATGTCGTATTGGCTTTACTTTTCAGACCTGGGAAGCTACGCCCATCTTTTATACTGTTTGACAAAATAGCAAAACTGACAAAAACTATTATAATGCAAATTAAACAAATCTAAATCTGCTCTTCTTTTTAACATCGCTTTTTTATTTCACTTGTAATACGTTCCTCTTTGTGATCATTGAGAAAAAAACTGAAACTTTTAACAATACTTGATTCTAACATTAGATTAATTTGACATAATGACATTTTTTATTCCATTTACGAGCAGCTATTACTGCAAATGAAACCATAAATTAATTGACAACATAAATACATGAAACTTCCTTATTTTATTTTTTTTTGCTTAAATTGTGGCCATGATGTCCAAAAATACAATGAAATCCTTTTTTTATTTTGAATGCACAGATCCAAATTGATATTAGTTTCGACTCATGAAGAAATAAAGAATTAAGCTATTTGAAAGTACTGACTGTTTGATATTCATGTCACGTACGTGACGTGGGAACTTTCCCCTAATCAGGGTGCACAGGGGTAAACACTAAATGTAATCTGAGTGTGATAAAAGTACAAATATACTTAGTGACTGTGCAGCTACCGAAGCTGAAGTGGTCATTTTCATAGCGGTCGAATCCAAGCACACATAGACGCACACTCACTCATCCACCACGTCTATTCTCCAACTGGCTGCAGTCCAAACTGACACATGGGGAGAGAAGCAGCAGAAGGTAGGCCTGTCCCAAACAGCTCAGTCTCTGTCTATCTGAGGCTGCAGGAAGCCACTGAACAGCTGCTCAAGGTGAACGTCCAATGAGGCATGTGCAAATATGAAGCTCGAGACTGGGAGAGAGACCTAAAGACAGAGACCGAGTGAGGCACACACACAGAGGGGAGGATGAGTCAGAGAATCAGAGGGAATAGGCTCATGAGTGACAGACGCAGAGGGGCAGGAAAGATCATTATACCCGATAGGGTTCGCTGAATCGAACCTCCGATTTCAGTCACGGCGACATGTTTGAATCTTAACAGGGGTGTCTTTTGTTTGCAGCGTGACAAGAGTCTCAATTTGGATTTGAATGTGTCATCATGGACAGAAACTGCTCTAGCGAAATTGTAAAAAAACAAAAAAACAAACAAACATTTGCACCACAGAAAATCTGACAACTTATCACATTGGCCAAACAGCATCCGATCCACTCACCAGTTCTTTTTGTGTCCATAGGTGTCCTGAAAGCAGCTATACTTGCAGCAGAGGACTTTTAAGTGCTCATTCACACTCGCAGCCTCCCTCCTTTGTACGTCATAAACCCAGATATAACTATGTAATTTAAATCATTGTGACATGATGAATATCTGTGAGCTTCTCAGTAACCCCGGCCTTAAATCGAACTCCTGTTCATCTTCAAACCGAAGCCTATGGCTAAAAATGAGCCAATTCCCACTTGTTTGCCTGTACTGTAGACTGGATGACTGAATACTCAGAACCTTGAATAAGGCCCTACATAGTGTAGAGAAGAATAGGGCCGTTTACTTATGGCATATATTGTTCATTATGTCAAAGCAAATAACCAAGAAGCATGGATTTACAGCAGAATAATGTGAGTCTGTGTTTTATGTACACCATGTCTGTTGAACCATTTTGATGTTAATGGGATAAAACCTGTTCATGAGGGCTAGCATGACTCTGCTATTGTTCACACCCATGGTATGTATGTATGTATGTATGTATATATATATATATATATATAT